AAGACTTCAATCTTTGGAGATACCTGTATGGAAATGGGATCACATTACCATGGATTTCGTTATGAAGTTACCTCGAACTCCAAAGGGGTATGACGCGATCTGGGTAATTGTTGATCATTTGTCTAAATCTACGCATTTTCTGCCAATAAGAGAGAAGTACTCTTTAGAAAAGCTGGCGCAGATTTATATCAAAGAAATTATAACCAGACACGGTGTTCCATTGTCTATTGTCTCTGATAGAGATAGTCGGTTTACTTCAAAGTTCTGGGAAGGATTGTAGAAAACTTTGGGATCTGAAATCCGACTAAGCATAGCTTATCATCCACAGATTGATGGGCAGAGTAAAATAACTATCCAGACTCTCGAAGTTATATTGAGAAGTTGTATTATTGACTTCGGGGGATCGTGGGAAGATCACTTGCCATTGATAGAGATTGCATATAACAATAGTTACCATTCCAGCATCCAAGCGACACCGTATGAAGTGTTGTATGGACGTAAATGTCGAATACCGTTGTGTTGGAATGAGGTGGGTGAAAAACAGCTGACGGGTCCTGAAATTGTCCAAGAAACTTCTGAGAAGATCGAACAGATCCGCGAAAGAATCAAAACAACACAAGATCGCCAGAAAAGTTATGCTGATAATCGTCGAAAGTCGATTGAGTTTAGTATAGTTGATTTGGTGATGTTGAAAGTTTCGCCATGGAAGGGTGTCGTCAGATTTGGAAAGAAACGAAAGCTCAGTCCGAGGTATGTGGGGCCATTCAGAATATGTAAACGAAATGGACCAGTAGCGTATCAGCTAGAGCTGCCAGAAGAGCTGAGTCTGATTCACAACATTTTTCATGTATCGAATCTGCGGAAATGTTTAGCCGATCCAAATTTAGCTATACCAATGCCAGAGATTGAATTAAACAGTAAGTTGAATTTTGTGGAAACACCGAAAGCCGTAATTGACCGAAAGATCAGGGTGTTGAGAAACAAAGAGATAAGCCTGGTTAAGGTTCAGTGGAAGTTTCACAAAGGACCAGAAGCAACATGAGAATTGGAGTCAAAGATGAGATCAGAATACCCTTGGCTCTTTAATTAAAGGAATTCCGGGATGGAATTCTTTTGAGGGGTGGATGATTGATAATTGGATCTTGGTTATCACCTGAGGTAAATATAATGTGATTATTTGTTATGTGTTTACCTGACATCATGATAAATTGTTATATTTAATCATGCTAATATGTGAAAATATATATAATGTAGATGCATGAATAAGATTATGTGTATATATAGATGCACATGTATGTATGATATATATATATATATATATGTGTGTGTGTGTGTGTGTGTGGATATGCATGCATGTATATGCATGCATGTATAAGTATATATATATATATATATATATATATATATATATGGTTAATTGATGGATGCATGAATGCATGCATATATGTGAGGAGGGCAGTTTAGCCGCCTTACCCTCTTTTGGAAAGTATATAAGGAGGGTTTAAGGCCTCCATCATTTTCTTCTTACCATTTTTAGAAAGTAAGTGTGCGATTTGAGAAGAAGTTTTGACCGGACTTTAAATCTAAGCTTTTCAAAAGACTGTTTTGCAAAAAGGCTTTCAAGGTGAGTGGTTTAATTTCTTTGAAAACTCTTTACAATTGCATAAATTGATTGTATAGCTTTTATTTTAAACTTGATGAATGATGTCCGGATTAGACTAAACCGGACAAGGGATGAGCGATTTAGTCTTAGACCGGTTAAGAGTCAAGCGATTTAGTCTTAAACCGGATAAGTGTTGAGCGATTTATGAATAATGAGTTTGTTTAACATTTTGAACGGAGAAGTTGGAATACGACTAAATAGTGGCCGGATTATTTTAAATCGGACAAGCCTTGAGCGATGTGTTGTCCGCACTTGTTATCCGGACAAAAGTGTTAGAATTTATTCTAAGTGTTAAATCGGACAAGCCTTGGGCGATGTGTTGTCCGGATTTGGTAAATCGGCCAAGACTTGACCGGAGATGAAGTCCGGCCAAGTCATGTTGACCGGATTTGTGTTATGTCTTGTGCTTGATTGATAAAAATTGTTATTTTATCATAAAATGGGAATTTTGATATAGATGATTTTGAATTGATAATAATTCCATTGACTGCGGTCTATTTGGAATCGTTTTTTAAAAATATTTTGATAAGGAAATAAGGGTGGCATATCAAGGAGAGGTGTACATTTGGATATAAAGATGGCATTTGTATGTGTGTTGTATGATATAACTCTTTCTATTATATCCTTTAAGATTACTGTGGTTTGGAATCTTTATTTCTTTGTGATTTAAAGATTTAGGATCAAGGTTCTTATTGGAAATCGTAGTCTGGATGTTATTGAGAAGAAAATAACAGGTTTGGCCTAAAACTTTAAATAAACCTTGTTTGATTAGAAAAGGTTTAAAAGTGGCATTATATGAAACCTGGTTGGTTCAAAGGTATGTTTTTTGAATAGCTTAATGCTTGGCTTGAAAAGGGAAAGGTACTGGTAATATGCCCCATTTATTCATATATTGGTTATATATGTGAAAAGTTGTTTTATTTAAAAAGTTTTGGTGATTACCACCCTGCAATAACTTAAATAGGGTAGCTCACTAGACCTTTCGGTCTAACCTTCGTTTTGTAATTTTAACTATATATTGCAGGAGGTACGGACGGTAAGGGAAAGGGGAAAATGTGATATTTTTCTAAATGTTTATCTACATGAAGATTTGTTTATAATGTATAGTTTTGATTGATGTACGATGATTAGTACAAGAAATGTATTTTGTATGGAAATTTCTTGTACTAAAGGACCTAAGTGAAATATAAACATGTATTTCTTCTGTATGAAGTATGTGTTACATGTAATGTGTGGTATGGAGTGTTACAGGAAATCTTACTTCATGTTTTATTGATAAGAGGTGATGTTGAAGTCTGAAATTTGAATCAATAAGACTTTTTGTTTTTTGTAAATTGATAAACGTCTAAATTTCGTTAAATTCTCTATTTTACTCATTAGAAAATTATAGTGTTAAATTTATAGATAAATTTATCCAATTTCACATATTTATTCATCACCATTATGAAATTTACATCTAAATTATATAATTAGCACTCATTTAAATGAAAACATGCCATTGATGGTATTTAACACATTTAAATTCTATTAAAATACATCAATTGAAAGAGGTGATGATCGATTTGGTAAGGATCAATTGAGAAAAATGATTGATTAAGGTTAATCAATTGAGAAACGTCGTTGCTAAAGGTCTGGAGAACAATAGAGGCAAATAAGAGATCTATTTATCTCTTACCAGATAAGAGGACATTAAAACATAAGTGACTCTGAGAAACTGGAAAAACCAAATAGTCTTAAATGTCCTACCTATTAATAAATCAGACATAAGAGGCTGATAAAAGCTTTTTTTTTTTAAGCAAACAAGGCCATAATGTACATAAATCAAACCATTTAAGGTTTACACATTGCGTCCGAACATATCAAAACTATACAATAATCTGAAATAACATATATCAGATATCTTCACAATTCTTCAGCAAGCTTAACATAAAGACAACCAAACTGATGAACTCACAACTTTCCTTTTCCTTTATCACTAAAACGCAGCTGCTCTAAAATGCACATTTTTTAAAAAACAAAATGAGGATTAGACCATACAGTTTAGTGAGGAAATCTTTGTCAGTTTCAGCAATCTAATAAAATCCAGTTACTATAAAACATTTCAATTTGTTAGATATAAATTGACACCAAGGCTCAACATCCCACCCAGGTAACTTGTCACAACAACAATCACTGCTCAATATCACACACTCTGGTAAGGTTGCAATTCCTATCAGTTGTGGCCTGCCACACAAAACAAATTCGTGGGCACTATATATCCCCTGCACGGACCATCATAATCCTAAGTTTTATAACCAAAGAATTCATAATTTCACCACATGTGTTAAAATCCAACATCATGTAAAGATAATGCAACACAATTAACAGTAAAATACAACCATACCAATGAGGTATAACGTCGAAGTAATAATCAACTAATAACATATGCATTTCAATTAAAACGGTTTATAAGAAAACTCACCTTGATTACGATAAACGAAGATATAACTTTAACCGTCTCAAATGATCGAAACCGAACATGAAACCCAAACCAAAGACCGGAATAAATAATCATGGTTTACAATCTAGATGATTAAGGGGCCGTTTACCTAAACACTTACCCAGTAAGCGCTTAACGGTAAAATTCAACTCTATCGCTTACTTACCAAGTAAGATTTTAGTCTAGCAAAACAACAACATTATGTAACAATATACCCGGTAAGCGCTAACCGTGGTAAGAGTCGTCGTCATCACTTACCGGGTAAGACTCTCGGTCCCTGCCTTCACTCTTACCATGTAAGATTATTGGTCCTTGTCATACTCATCCGGTAAGAAATGTGACTTGGTAAGCGCTTACTCGAGTAAGAATTATGTAAACGGCCCCAAATCTATTCCATAACTCTTAATGTTTACATAAAAGATGCCCCAAAAAACCCAAAAACAACACCAAGAAAAAATGGCAAACAGTAGGGAATGCAACCCTGATGGTCGCATCAAGGTCGCAATTAACACTGGATGCAACTTCCAGGCCTACTCATCCCCTGCTCAACCCAGTTTTCAACCAAAACCATTCCCAAATGGGTTTCTACTTTTCAGAATGTAAACCATGAGTAAACAAGAAGAAAAGTAAACCCATTTAAATGGGTTTTTACTTTTCAGAATGTAAACCATGAGTTGGGACAGGGCAAGAAAATGTAAATCATGAGTCCTATCTTTGTATTGATTTTGATTTTGAGACGAAAATGGGCAACTTGTGTGAACCAAAGGGGCCAAATTTGTAATTTACTATAGAATATAGCTTGATGACTTTTGAATTAGCATCATCAAGTACATATAATATTTATATACGACAATCATCGAAATCCAACACATAGAATCGTTGTATAGTTAACATGACAGTAGAATCAACAACGCCTCCGAGCTCGACCTTCTCTGATGACCAAAGAAACGGCTTATATCATACAATTTGCAAAACAGTCATCAAATTATGTTTTAAGACGTGCATTTTGAATAATAAAAAAAGCACCTCTTAACGTATAATTTGGACGAATGGTAATTTACATCTTCACCTCAAGGATTGCTAATAGTTTACATGTCTAAATGTAAAAGCTTATAGAACCAATTATGGGTTTAATTTTTTCTACAAGTTGTACCATCTTGGCATTTTATGTCTTCTTCCTCATTTGCAGCCTGAAAATTGACCAAGTTTTGCATCCAATGAGTAAATACTTCATTTTTTATTTTCATGAATTGCAAAGTATATGATTAAAAACCACATAAATTGATTATGGTTTTCTCATACCAATGGTTTTCTTGCAGTGAAGAACAGCTTCATAAATCGAATTCTCAGAATCGCAGGATCTTCGCCAATTATCTGCAGCATAGACTTCGCAGGATTGTGGCCAGTTATCAGAACTGTATGCTTCATTTGTTCTGGGAGACGATGGGCCCGCAAATCCCCAAATCTTGGTCGTTTCCGAGTCGCACGATCTTCGCCAATTATCGACAGGATACGATTCACTAGAAAACGTGGTCTTTCCTGTGCCTGAAAATTCCCAGTTTTTGGTTCTCTGTAGGTCACTAGAATCACACCTTCCTCTTCTCATTCTGAGCCAAATCAACCGAACCAAATTCAAATACTTCTGAACGACTCTTTTAGGTAATCTTTTGTACCTTCTAAAGGATAAAGAACGGCTTCTGCGATAAGAACAGACGTTTTCTTGGACGGCTGACGACGACACTGGTGAAGCTGGAGTCGAATTAGAACCAACATCCAACGGCTTCAGAAAGAGAGGAACCAGGAACCCATTAGAGATGAGTTCATCAGCATGAACTGAAGGCTGCAATGTTGGCAGATCAAAGTCGAAATCTTGATGAAAAACAAGAAATCTTTTAGAAGCAGAAAGCTTAGGGTCCATTTCTATGAAGTTAGATTCATCAAAAGAGAATCTAAAAGACCCTTTTGGGCTTTCAAAAGATGGTTTTAGGTTCACTAACCAACTGTAGGAGAAGCTCTCAATAGATAGTGATTCTGAAACTTCCATGGAGGATAATTAATGTATGAAAGAATTTAATGTCTACAGGGATGTGTTTATCAAATTCTTTGTGGTGTGTATACATATGTATGTATATATATATATAGAGAGAGAGAGACAGAAATCATACATGTGCATGTAAAGACATCATTATTGTGGTCCTTCATGCTGCTATAGATAACATATAATTATCAGTAAAATAAGGGAAGAAAAAGTAGCAGAATAGACAGAAATGTGAACCCCACATGATGTAATGTTGCATGTTATGTTTAATAATAAAACAGGGCATTGACATTAAGAGATCAGGTTCAGTTCATAAAAGCAACATTAAAAACTGCATTTACAGACCTCCTTCCCTAATTTCTGCAGACCCAAGAAGCCTTCATGCTTCATTTCTTTTTTTACATGCTACTTCTGTATACATTCAATGGAGCAGGATGTAAGATTAAACTGTAAACTGATGACGAAAATAAATGCAATTCCTACACATAAATGGTTAACAATACCCACAGGGTATGCAAGGCCTAGTTTTAAGTTACAAAGTTGTTTTGAAAACGTAACAAAGTGAAATTACTATCAAATATCGCTAGTAAAGCTAGAGTCGAAGGGGATACGTGTTCAAACCCATCAAAAAAGCTATATTATCAAACATTGAGCTCGATACTATATGGCGCCATGCCCTATTGAATCCCATTTTCCGCCCTTCAAGAGGGGAAAACAAACTTTGCCAAGGTCTCCGGCAGGGCCAGAGGGGATAGTTGCCTTAAACAATTGTATTAGTAAGACTACAAATAAAAAACAAGTATAAGAAGTGAAGTGTCTAGGGGACAACTAAACATATATGGCATAAAACAATGATGCTTGTCACATGAAGTTGTATAATATAAAGAAACATGCATGCTTGTATTAAAATAAGAAGGTCCTCAAATTCTATATACTTCTCTAAGTAATCAATTATTATATCTCCTAGTGTTGTGTATTCAATTATATAATGGTTAGGTCCAATTATATATTGGTTAGATGGACCTGGTGGACCCAAGCACCTCTTCTTTGCGAGTCTTCGGAAAACGAACCTCGTCTCACTTGGAGGTAAGGATGGAAACAGAACTGATATTGGACAAATAATGCATCCCCTGTCCCGACCTTGCCCCGACTAATCCTTGATTGGTCCGGAGGGAAGGAATCCTCAAATGGTTCAGGGAACTCGTTTAATAAAAAAACAATTAAAAGAACAGTGTATTTTAAATTAAAATCACTAGATTCATATCAATATTGAAAATCCAATATACATGTCAGTTAATATATATATATATAGACACGTATTTATATTTACACACATATACATATATTCAACAAAATAAAAAATTTAACCGGGGTCAGATTAGGGGCGAGTAATGCCATCTCCGACCCTGACCTTGCTTTGGGTATGAAAATAAACCCCCGTCCCTGCCTCGTTGCCGCCAAAGCAGGGAATCCCCGTCCTGTTAGGGTCGAATACCCGGCCGGCCCAAGGTTAAATTTTACATCTCTACTTGGAGGTTTGGTTTAGGGGCGGGATGCATGCAGATCTTACCTCTATAAAGAGTAGACTGGTTATTCTGTAAAGACCCAGGATTTTCAAAAGAGTATGTCAAAGAAAAGTTTGATCCGCAAATTTCAATGAAGGTTGTCATGAAGTTTGATGAAAAAGAAGGAAAAAGAAGAAGAGTTCAAATAAGACTCTTCAAAAAAAAAAAAAAAAAAAAAGAACTAAGCAGCAATTTACCAAAACGCTTAGGTATGAGTCACCACTCTCATGTAAGATTTTTGGTTATCAAAATGGCATCCTATGCAACACTCGTACATGGTAAGCACTTATCAATAAGAATGATAAACCTCACTTACCATGTAAGACTCTTATTCCTTGCCTTGCCTCTTATGGGTAAGATTCTCGGCCCTTGACATGTTAATCTGGTAATGATAAGCATTTGGTAAATGGACCCTAAAGTAGTAAACGGAACAGAGCAAAGGTTTGAATAACTACCCACCCCCCTAGACGCCTCATTATTCCTCCCTCCTACCCTCTACCTCTCCAACTTCTTTCCTCTCGTTTACGGTAGCTACGGGTCCCCACCCCCAGTTAACAACTCTAATCCTGCGTCTCCAAAGAGCTCCTATCATAGGTCATTGTCCTTGACAACTTCAGTCATTAGAAGTTACATAATATGATACCAGTAGATTATTTGAAGAATAATGATGAGTCAAAACATACAGCATAACTTAATGGCACTCAGGTGGTTCAGAACTCTAGATGTCAGAGTAGTACCAAAGAGAGAAAAAAAAAATAGGCTTAAAACTTAGTTATGTCTCACCTAGTCAGTCACTTTCCATGAAAGTAAGTGGGCAGGAAACAGAAAAGGCAATGAAGGTCAAGATTGGGGTTTTTTATGAGTGTGGTAACAAATGAATTGGTCATGCATGATAAACTGGATTCAACAAACACTAGATATTTGACAAGTTGGTGTTCTTGGTATTTGCTTATCTGTTGTTGGGTCATATAATTGGTTTTGTCTGCACCACAAGATGATGACTTCGTAGGGTGGGAGAGAAAATCCTGCATGCAACCATATATGATCAATACCAAGCTAAATATAGATTTGTGCAGAATCTGAAGAAGAAAATATCCTAAATTCTATTGGACTGGGAGTTTTAGGCATTTACATCCACCAGCAATCTGAGTGGTGGGTGGTTTACAGCTTCCCAAGGTATTCAGTGCCAAAAAGACAGTAACGTTCTTCAAAACTACAAACAATTATTCCCAATCAAACTAAACAAACAAAAATAGCAGACATTGGTCCCCAACCGTTGTCGGGGAACGAAATGGACATGAGGCAATGTAACTAGGGCAGAAACCATAAGCAGAAAGAGACTTTGGAACCAACCAAATGGTCCCCTTCTGATATCCTTCTTTGAGGACAGAAAGGCACTTGTTAGAATATGTAGACATTCAAAAGCCACTACCTTCTCCAAACAGGGATTTCTAATTGTGCAGATCATATCTATTTGCAAAGAAGTTATCAAATTGACAGGTCGATAAGCTGTTTAGGGTCTAGCTAAAGAAGAGATGGCATATGGCTTTTATATCACACAGCAGACCTCTTTCAGAACCAAAGAAGAAAATGTAAACATGTTGCATATTAATCAATGTTTTTATGACACAGAGAGAGAGAGAGGGCAGAATCCTCATCCATTCTTTCTTTTTCTAAGGGAAGCAAATTTGAAAGCATCTAAGCGTTTGGTTCGCCATTATGATTTCTGAAGGAATGAAATATGTCAAAGGAATTGGAATGGAATGTTATCAGGTTTAACCAAGTGTTTGGTTGACAAGAATGGAATGTAATCTGTTTAATGAATTGGAATCTGCCTGTTCGGTTTGCAACAGAATTGGAATGGAATGACGACAAAGGACAAAAATACCCTTTCTTTCATTTTTTTAGTTACATTACATATGGAGAACAATTTTTTTTACCCTCTCTTCCCCATTCTGCACCTCACCAGCTTCCTCATCTGCATCCTTCTTCTTTTACTCTTCCTTACCAACATCTTCTTTTGTAACAACCTTCTCCTTTTTCTTTTATTTTTTTATCTTTCTTTCCCTCATTCATCTGTAGCTCTGCACGACAAACCATTCACAAATCTGCCTTCTAAATCCGCAGGGACGAAATCTCACATGGGTTTAAACGTACAAACACAGGGACAAATCCCTGAATCACCAGTGCTTCCGTTGAATCTGTTCAAACACTGCAGGGACAAAATCTCACATCGGTTTAAACAGGGGAGGGGGATGATGATGGCTGACAAGGAGGTTTTATTTCTAGTTTAGAGCTATGCTGTTAATATCGCGATATATCGTCGATATATCGGATATCGCTCGAAAAAAAATATCGGAACTCAAATATCGGTCAAAATATCGGGAACGATATTGTCGGCGATATTTTCTGATATTTAGCGATTTTTAGCGATATTTTGAGGTAAAAATCGGTCCGATATACCGATTTTATAAGGTTTAAAAATTTGGGCTGATAACTTATTTTGTTATTTCATGGGCCTAATTTTTTGGGCTGATAACTTAAATTTGTTATTCCATGGGCCTAATTTTTTGGGCTGATAATAAAATTAGGTCTGAATCTTAAAATAGTTCCACAACGTCTTCTTCTTTCTTTAGACTTCGACTTCTTCACGTTCAACTTCAGAGTCTCGACTTCTTCTTCACACTTCGACTTCAACTTCAGTCTTCAGACTTCGACTTCGACTTCTTCTTCAGACTTCGACTTCGACTTCTCGGTCTCTCTTTTCGATCTCTTCAGACTTTGAAACTATATTTCTAAACTCTAATTAATGCATATTATATATATAATTCTAAGAAATATTATGTTAACCGCTATTTCCGATATATCACCGATATATCACCGATATATCGAATATCGGTCCTGACCGATATTTCGTATTCTGACCGATATAACAGCATAGGTTTAGAGCAAGGATTTCCTTTTGTTTTTTATTTCTAGTATCACCGACCATGGGAGGATGATGATGGCCGGCAAGGAGGTTTCCAATCAAGAATCGTGCTGAATTTGGAGAAGTCGAAAAAGGAGAAAGAAGATGAGGGTATTTTTGTCATTTACACAATTTTGAATGGAATGAATTTCAATTCCATCAGTTTTAGGAAGGAATGATGAAATCCTCAATTCCATTCCATGGGTAACCAAACATTGGAATGGGATTTGGTCAACGAAATTGACCATTCCAATTCATTCAGATTCCGGCGGATTCTGATTAACCAAACGCCCCCTAAATGTTGCTGGAGTAAAGTTTCCCTAATAAGTCAAAGAAAATGCATCATTGATTTCTTTCAAGAAATATGAAAAACCGCTCTTCATGAATAAAAACCAATCACCAAGATCAAAACGGTTTCTTAATTGTGGGGAACATATTACATATCAATTTGCAAGGAGAAGTGATCAAACTGACAGATGGACTCAACTGTAATAATCATGCTGTTTAGGGTCTAACTAGAGAAAAGATCTACAATTAGGCACACAAATGAAAGTCACTTGAGCATCCTTAATTTCTTTCAACAAATTTGAAAGACCTAAGATCATGAACAAATCCAAATAACTATCCAACTTCAAAAACCTAAAGCTAGATACTGTCTAGAAGGACCACTTGACAGTTCATACACATGCTTAATATCAGATTGTGAACAGCAATCAATGTGTTCGTTTAACAGCTTTCTTTTAATATTCATTTACACATCAATATCCAATTTGTAAGACCTGAGATTATATAAACAAATCCCAATAAGTACCACCCAACTTAAATAAACCTAAACGTAGATACTATTTGGAAGGGCCCCTTGACAGTTCATACACCACAAATCACACACATGCTTAAGACTGGATATCAGTTTTGAACAGCAATGTGTTCATCATCAGCTCTCATTAATATTCATTTACACAGATCAATACCGAATTTGGCAAAAAATGTTGTAAGAGAATGATCCTATACTACGTCAATAACTGAATGAACATCTAACTGGATCAATAATAAGAAAACAACCGTATGCTTATACAAAATGTGAAAAGAAATAGCAACTGGGACCTGAGGAACATCACCTCATAAGATCTACAAATACAAAGGCATTCCAAAGGCTGTGTAACAGCATGGGCGGCAATAAGTTTCTTGATCGTGCAAAAAGGGTACCCATTACGATCCCTAAGAATACAAGGGGCAGCATTCTCTGCAAATTGAAATGCGCCAAGGCAAAAGCTAATGAACTCAACAATATTGAGCACCATACAGGCATGTACCTCGTCAAGGAAGGGAGAAGAAACCCTCGAAAGACAATCTCCTCCCAGATAGGGGCACAAACTGAAACCACTATGGCATAAAGCACCATCGCCATTGGATCTCGTGCAACAATTGACTGTTCGACATTTGAGATCGTGACAGGAGTAGGGGGAGGCATGGGCAATAAATTCAGGTTAACCTGTGAGAGCCGGTTGACCAAAGGGAACATAAGGCATCCTAAACCAACATCAAATTGCCAGTTCCCTTCAAAGCTAAACCTGAACCAATCAGATGAAAGGGGACGAAACCTTGCAAGGCAAAGCTTAAGGATCGCAATCCCAGCAATACCCTCCACCACGTCTGTTAAAAGGCTGTACAACGCCTGTCCTCTGTATGTTAGGGACTCCTTTCTGAAACCTGCCATGTGAGCTACAAATGGTATTATCCATGATCCAACCAGCCAAAATGAGGCAATCCAGAAGAGCATTACCTGCATTGTCAAATAAATTATTTGTAACATTGATGCATGCTGTTTCTTATAACAAATACTAAACTCCTGAGCTTCCAACGTTGACACATGCTGTTCATCTACTTACAAGCTGCATCTCAAAATTCTCATGTGGATAGAAAAAGATGACAGATCAGCATTTGTTATAAAGTTAAAATAATGTAAAGATCAGTTGATCTATACTCACAATTACCTAATTGGTTAGATTTTACTTCCCTCTTCCCCTAGGCAATTAATTTCGGACCGCATGAAAGATTACTGATATTACCAATCAACATGCCTACATGTCTTGTTATTATAAAAGCCAAACATGTGAGGTTTTCTACCTGGTAAGAATAAGCACAAGCATAAACCAAAGGGTCATATGCACAATGGTATCTGGATCACTGGTAGAGCCCAGCCTCCCAGGAGGTCAAGGGTTCAACCTCACCAAAGGTGAGGAGTATGCGTGAGTATTTGCCATATATTAATATTATTACACTTTTAGAAAAAAGCATTAGAGGATCTCCAAACATACTCCCAACATTTAAGTTAATGTAGGGAATTATTTTTGCCTAGAAATTAGTGTAAGGAATGTTTTTTAACGTTGCGACTCCAATCATGCTCTCCACATTAAAATTAAACAATTATTTAATGATGTTTTGTTTACTTTAATAGACATATAATTTACCTTTCTAATTATTTATAAAACAAATAATAATAAACTAGAGTAAATATGTTATAGAAGCTCCTACATGTGGGGAGTGACATAATGCAAATTAGGTAGGGGTGATAGGAATGATGTTTTTTTTGGTTTTGGCTCCCTACAATAGTTAAAATATGAGGGAGTGGATTGGAGATACACTAAGCCATCTACATGTGAGACCTAATGAAAGCACGGACCCTATAGGGAACTCGAATAAATTGTAGGCTGTAAGATTATGTTGCTTTGTAAGATTTGCTCAAGCAAGCTTACGCACATCAATCACACAACTGTTAAGGAACGTCTTGGCCATGGCCTTGACCTTTCTTCAGGCCGAGCAAAGGGTATAAGCCTAGCTAAGCTACAAGGGGGCATATGCCTGTGGGCATAGCTAACAGATTTTTAAGGCCTAGACATCATGCCTAACCCATCTTGTAGTCTGGGCTAAGCAAAAGCCAAAACTGGTAAGAGGTAACGACCCAAAATACTTAAAAGTGCAAAACATCTGACATGGACCTTTTTACTCTACAAAGAAGATTGATATATGAATCTTCACCTTTGGAAGATGAGAAATACAAATAAGGAGGAGCTACTAATGAAGATCATTTACTATATTATTTGCATTTGCCATTTCACCTTCCTTTTTTATTGTGTTTGCATGACACTCTTGACATTTTTCTTCAGAAACCTTTGGAGCTTAAAGTGGCAACATGTGAATTAGCATGGAAGATATCGACACTTGCCACACCACATTCTCTTCTACACATTGCATATCAAGCCACCCTTTCTAACAAGAAGAATGTAAAATTTTAGCCTCCCAACTAGAGATGGAAATTTTCCCAACCCTAACGAGGCGGGGACGGTGGTCTGTGTTCATACTCGAAGCGAGATCGGGATGGGGGGTCAGGGTCGGGTCGGGTCGGGTCGGGTATGACACTACCCACCCCTTATCCGATATTAAACTTTTATGTTGTTGAATATATGTATATATATATACTTTTATTTTGTTGAATATATGTATATATATACATATATATATATATATATATTTAATTTTGTTGAATATATGTGTATATATATATACGTGTGTATGCATATATTTATATACCTTTATCTATAAGTGTGTAAAACAGTTAATGTTGAAAATTAAGAGCTACTACCCCTTACACTTAATGTACTACTTTGGAAGCTACACAACCTCCCACGATCCCCATTGTTATAAAAATCAAATTAATTTTAATTTTTAAATTACACTTTATACCCTTATAATTAGTTATTTAATTTACTTTATATCCCTTTCTTTTTCATTTTTCGTTTCACAACTTTCTCATATTAACATAATAATCATATATTAACTAAAATATATTAAAATAAGCGTTTTCTTTTTTTTATAAATTATACCATTATAATTGTCTCTTTAGTATCTTCAAAATGAGTCCAATATGGAATATTTTTGGATTTAAGAATATTATTAAATATGATAAATACATATTGAGTTATTTTTAAAACTTATTTTTCATTTTTGATTTTTCATTTCACACCGCTTATGTATACACTATGTACAAGGTGAACATCAACCCTACCTCATCGTCCCTCTTTTCCGACGTCACCCAGAGTCCTCTCCTTACTACCCCCTCCACATTTCGCTCTTTCCTGCTCTCTCAATCACTACCAATCGACAATTGGAGAATCGATTATTTGGCTCTCTCAATTGCTCCCAATTTTGGGATGTAACCTGCCCCTCCAAATGCCCTTTCTGCAGCGATAAACTATTCAAGATTCTTGTATGTCCAAAGTTGGCACTTTGAGCATTGGTAATTTTGCGTCTACAACTTCATCTCTACTTCGGATTCTATCTTCATCTCTCAATTTTGTTAATTTTTGTTCACCGGTACCAAATAAGGTAGGATACTTCTCACAGTTTCTAAAATTGTTGTAGAACCCAAAAATACACCACGATAATTGTTGTAGAACTCAAATGTTCACCACAGTAATTGTCGTAGAACTCAATTTCACATATTTACATTACCAACATGTTTATCTTCTCCACTTTTACGTAGATTTTTGGGGAAGAATATCAATGCTTATTGGAAATTTGACAGGTGGCGTCTAAACAGGAAGAAAATTTTAAGTGATTTTTTGAATGATCATCGTATATTTCCCGTGTCTTTGAGGTCTTCGTTTAAATTTAGTTAGAATGCATGATGAAGTCTTAAAATTTGCAGTTTGCATTGGGTTCCTCTAAGTATTAACGAAATTTTTGCTCAAATGGATAAAGAATGGAATCTTAGGGGCATTTGGTTCACAGAATGATTTCTGAAGGAATAGAATCTGTCAAAGGAATTGGAATCAGGAAAGAATGGGAATGGAATGTTATCAGGTTTGACCAAGTGTTTGGTTGGTTTCAAATTTTTGGAGTTGCAAGGTCGAAGCTTCAAAGAGGGAAAGAGGTTTAGAGGGTGTTGGCAACAGTGAACCTATATCTGGTTCTCAAATCTGGTTTGTTTGAACATTTATTGAGGAAATTGGAGGCAAGCAGTAATCGGTCGAGAGCATCATAAGCAGAAATCGAAAGCAAGCAATAATCGTTTTGATTTTGGTGTTTGATAAGCAGAAATTGGAAGCAAGCAGTAATCATGAGGTATTTTTGTCATTTACACATATTTAGATGGAATGGGTTTCAATTCCATCAGTTCTAGGAAGGAATGGTGAAATCCTCAAATGATGGAATCTTTGGAATTCAATTCMATTCCATGGGTAACCAAACGTTGGAATGGAATTTGGTCAACAGAATTGACCATTCCAATTCCACCAGATTCCGGCGGATTCCGACAAACCAAACGCCCCCTTATGGTTTGATAGACAAATTATTTACTGATCTGAAAAGTTTTATGAAGAATATTAACCTCTAGAGTTTTACAATTTTTCTAATCATACTAATAGAATGTTTTTGCATAGATAAACAACATTAAGATAAAGGGAATTTTGGAAAAAAATGTAGATAGATAAGACCTATATCACATGGTGGTTGGCAAGATAATCCAGAAAAATTTGGGTCAAGATGATCCAGGTTACTAAAGATGGTGTTTTTTCGTTAACAGAAATTTGGGTCAAGACGAATTTTTTGCTCAAGTGGATAAAGAAGTAATCCATGTGTGTTTAGTTGGAGAATCAGACATGATTTTATTTTGAAGTCCTAGAATTTGAAGTCTGCATTGGGGGTTCCTATAGGTATTTTATGTGGATTGTGGGTTAGTCTAAGAAACTACACAAGTTGTTGCATGTGTTTGTATCTTTAGGATTGGTATTTGTATATATAAGCTAATGACTAATGATGATCTAATTAAACGTATAGTTTATGAATATCTATTTGGAATGTAGGTCATGAGGTAAGATTTGTAAAGATATTTTTTAAGGAATCTCGAGATTGATTGACAACTTCTTTTTAGATGGACACATTTTGTATGCACTAAATTGGCCACTGTTGAAAATTCCTAGACTGATGTACTATAGATTGAATTTCAAATGCTGAAACAATTTTCGGTACGAACCATGGGGGAAAGACCAAGAGCTTATTCTTTGATGGAGTTAGAATCTTGAAATTTATCGTATTGACATGAGGTAGATCATGTTGTATTCACAAGCCAAATAGCTAACAACACCTATCCCAATTTTGAAGAATAAAGCACATTAAGCAGGTACAATGAATGAGAATCAATTGAATCGGCTTAAAAACACTATGCTTTTTATCGTTGTAGATAGACGCTATTCGAATTTAGACACTTATTTTAGGACAAACTTAAGTTAAAGATTTGTTCTTTTGGTTGTATGTTAAGTTGTTTAATTGGAGTTTGTTCGTTTAAATTTGGCTAGAATGTACAATGTTGTCGTAAAGTAGTTGATTTGTGCAAGCGTATGTTATTACTTGAAGAATTCAACATTTTTAGGAGATATTTTTGTAATCTTTTTTTATCTTCAAGTGATTAGAGGTGAATTAGAGTATGATTCTGTACAAAAAAAATTAGAGTATTTGAGTCTGATTTGTTTATCCATATGTGTTTAGTTGGAGAATTAAACATGATTTTGATTTTTAAGTCCTAGAATTTGCAGTCTGCATTAGGGTTCATCTAGGTTTTTTATGTGGCTTGTGGGTTGGTCTAACTTAAGTTTGTCTACAAAGCTGTATACATATTTTTCAACAAATACATATGCAAAAGGTAGTAACCAGTAGTTTGATAACTGTAGGCGTGAAAAATATAAATGTTGCTCTGAGGATTTAAGCAATTAGGACAAATCCAAT